TGAGCAGTTCACTTACACACGTTACGTCCGTACTTGAACAGTTCATCCACACAGGCTACGTCTGTACTTGAACAGTTCACTCACAAAGGTTACGTCTGTATTTTAACAGTTCAACCACACACGTTACGTCCGTACTTGAACAGTTCACTTACACAGGTTACGTCCGTACTTTAACAGTTCAACCACACAGGTTACGTCTGTACTTTAACAGTTCACCCACACACGTTACTTCCGTCCTTAAACAGTTCACTTACACACGTTTTGTGTTAACAGGTCACTTATATACGTTACGTCTGTACTTGAACAGTTAACCCACACGGGTTACGTCCGTACTTGAACAGTTCACTTACACACGTTACGTCTGTACTTAAACATTTCACTCACACACGTTACGTCCGTACTTGAACAGTTCACCCACACACGTTAAGTCTGTACTTGAACACTCACATAGGTTACGTCTGTACTTTAACAGTTCCCCTACACACGTTACATCCGTACTTGAACAGTTCACTTACACACGTGACGGCTGTACTTAAACATTTCACTCACACACGTTACGTTCACTTAAAATCATTACGTCTGTACTTGAACATTTCACCCACACACGTTACGTCTGTACTTGAACTGTTCACTTACACACGTTACGTCTGTACTTTAACATTTCACCCACACACGTTACGTCTGTACTTGAACAGTTCACTCACACACAGGTTACGTCTGTACTTGAACAGTTCAACCACACACGTAATGTCGGTACCTTAACATTTCATCCACACAGGTTACATCTGTACTTTAACAGTTCAACCACACAGGCTACGTCGTCTGCATTTGAACAGTTTACTTACACACATTACGTCTGTACTTTAACACATCACTTACACACGTTATGTCTGTAATTGAACAGGTCACTTACACACGTTACGTCCGTACTTGAANACTTACACACGTTACGTCCGTACTTGAACAGTTCACTTACACACGTTACGTCTGTACTTGAACAGTTCACCCACACACGTTACGTCCGTACTTGAACAGTTCGACTCCACAGGTTATGTCCGTACTTGAATAGTTCACTCACACATATTAAGGCCCGTACTTAAACAGTTCATTTACATACGTTACGTCTGCACTTTAACAGTTCACACACATAGGTTACGTCTGTACTTTAACAGTTCACTTACACACGTTACATCCGTACTTGAACAGTTCACTTACACACGTTACGTCTGTACTTGAACAGTTTACTTACATACATTACGTCTGTACTTGAACACATCACTTTCACACGTTACGTCCGTACTTGAATAGTTCACTTACACACGTTACGTCTGTACTTGAACAGTTCTCCCATACATGTTACGTCAGTACTTTAACAGTTCAACCACACACGTTACGTCGTCTGTATTTGAACAGTTCACTCGCACACATTACGTCTGTACTTAAACAGTTCACCCACAAAGGTTACGTCTGTACTTGAACAGTTCACTTACACACTTTACGTCCGTACTTGAACAGTTCACTCACACAAGTTACGTCTGTACTTTAACAGTTCAACCACACACGTTACGTCCGTACTTGAACAGTTCACTTACACAGGTTACGTCCGTACTTTAACACTTCAACCACACAGGTTACGTCTGTACTTTAACAGTTCAACCACAAACGTTACGTCCGTACATGAACAGTTCACTCACACACATTACGTCTGTACTTGAACAGTTAACTTACACACGTTACGTCCGTAGTTAAACAGTTCACTTACACACGTTTTGTGTTAACAGGTCACTTATATACGTTACGTCTGTACTTGAACAGTTAACCCACACGGGTTACGTCCGTACTTGAACAGTTCACTTACACACGTTACGTCTGTACTTGAACAGTTCACCCATACATGTTACGTCAGTACTTTAACAGTTCAACCACACACGTTACGTCGTCTGTATTTGAACAGTTCACTCGCAAACATTACGTCTGTACTTGAACACATCACTTACACATGTTACGTTTGTATTTGAACAGTTCACCCATACAGGTTACGTCTGTACTTGAGCAGTTCACTTACAAACGTTACGTCCACACTTGAACAGTTCACCCACACAGGTTACGTCTGTACTTGATCAGTTCTTCCACACAGGTTACGTCTGTACTTGAACAGTTCACTCACACACGTTTCGTCCGTACTTTAACAGTTCAACCACACAGGTTACGTTTGTACTTTAACAGTACAACCACACACGTTACGTCCGTACTTTAACAGTTCAACCACACACTTTACGTCTGTACTTGAACAGTTCACTTACAGACGTTACGTCTGTACATGAACAGTTCATTTACACACGTTACGTCCGTACTTGAACAGTTCACGCACACACGTTTTGTCTGCACTTGAACAGTTCACTTACACACGTTACATCCGTACGTTCACAGTTCTAACACACAGGTTACGTCTGTACGTGAACAGTTCATTTACACAGGTTACGTCGTCTGTATTTGAACAGTTTAATTACACACGTTATGTCTGTACTTGAGCAGTTTTCCCACACAGGTTACGTCTGTACTTGAAGAGTTAACTAACACACGTTTTGTTTGTACTTGAACAGTTCACTTACACACGTTACATGTGTACTTGAACAGTTCAACCACACACTTTACGTCTGTACTTGAAGAGTTCACTTACACACGTCACATCTGTACTTGAACAGGCCACTTACACACGTTACACCTGTACTTGAACAGTTCTCTCACCCACGTTCCGTCTGTACTTGAACAGTTAACTTACACACGTTACATGTGTACTTGAACAGTTCAACCACACACTTTACGTCTGTACTTGAACAGTTCACTTACACACGTTGCATCTGTACTTGAAAAGTTCACTTACACACGTTACATCTGTACTTGAACAGTCCACTTACACACGTTACGTCTGTACTTGAACAGTTCACTCACACACGTTACGTCTGTACTTGAACAGTTCACTTACACACGTTACATCTGTACTTGAACAGTTCACTTACACACGTTACGTCTGTACTTGAACAGTTCACTTACACACGTTACATCTGTAATTTAACCGTTCACTTTCACAGGATTACACATGGCCACCTTACTCTTCTCGATACTGTCCTTTATACGTAAAACTTATTGGATAGGAAAACAACTTGACACCGTTCTCTGAAATCTCCTTTTCACATTAATTATATTGGACACCAATACATAATACCCATTGAACTATGATTCATCCTGTAATGTACCTGGATAGTCCTCCCGTTCACCTTGACCGTTTCTTGCTCCAGTCTGATGTCGTGTCTGTGGGGGCGGATCCCCACCCACCGTCGTACCTCCGGGGCGTGCTAGAACACACACACTACATAGTATTATACGCCCACGTGACATGTTGACTAGTACGGATTCAACTCTTAGTCCGAACACGTGCAAGAAATGACAAAATATGCTGACGTTTCCCTGATATTGCAAGAGCGTTAGATGAAATAAATATAATTGGTTTTACGTAAGAAAACATCGCTTTTTACTTTTTTTACAATGTAATCCAACACTCCAGATACTCAATTATACCGAACAATTTAACTTGCCATGTTCTGCTCTTTGTACTTTGTATGAGTATGTACCTTGAGGGACGGCAGAACTTGCTGGCATATCCCACGAATTTTGTCGAAAGCTTCGGAGTTGTAGTCAAGGTCAGTCTTGCCCTCTTCACGTGTAACTCCCAATATCACGTCGTCTTGTCTGACGTCAAACGACAGACAGTCACGTCACGAGCAGCACATATTTATAACAGTATAATAAAGCATTATCGTACAATGCCAATTTTGCTTAATAATGGAAAACAATGTCTGTAAATCATTACATACACCGCCATAACATGCCAACAAGTGTGGTAACCAACGACTTTGGATTAACTCGACAAACAACAACCGATCAAATTGTGAAGTTTAAATATCTTAACAATTTACAAGTCTTCGGGGTAAACAAAGAAAGTAAGGTGTAAAGAATTTAAATTACGGAGGATAAAAACCGCAGGGACCTGAGCATTAGTTACCGCTATATTTGGACCTAAACTAAAGTGTTCAGAGTAATTTTACACCCGTTTTATGGGTTTATATCAGAATGAGGATGTCATTTTTACCTAAAGTCGATCTAAACCCCTAAAGCATGTAAAAGTACTCTGAATACCTTACTTTAGGTCAAAATATAGTTGTAACAAATCCTCAGGTCCCTGTGGTCATTACTTGTTAACCGTCTACCCATCACATATAATTACAGTGTACTTGCGTCCAGCTGCTACACAACATTACCGATAACCTATATCTGTACCAATACTTACCCGGGGTATATGAAATTGTCTCCGTTATCGAGGACGTAGAACTGTTTCACCCATGGTGCACTAACCTACAAAATGTCCATCATCACATTGAGATTCCTTGAATTCGGAATAGTGATAGAATGTCCCCTCCCCCACGCCATCCTTTCATATTCAGTGAAGATATTGTTTAATCGCACTCCATCTTAAGATCCATCTACTGAAGATATGTATAATACTCTTGAAAGCGTTAGACAATAGAACCTGAATAGTTATACATGATAGTCACGTAAAACAATGCCTAACAAATGCAGGGCAATCCATAGACCACACCGGTAATGATTTCTAACTTTTTCAAAAGGTAAGGTCAAAGGTCAAAGCATAGGTCACATTGAGGTCATAATGACCTACCTCTTGCACTCCGCCATCACAAGACGCCATTGTACACCAAATCTGGTTACCTTAAGTGAAATAGTATAGAACATATCTTCCGGACAATCTTCTTGGACGGAAGGACGGAGTACGACCATATAGTCCCCCCAGGAACCGGTTGGGGACTAATAACTAGCTTGAAATAAAGAAGTACAAATCGCGTCAATCACGTCATAAAAGACTAAAGAATGTTTCACTTAGTGTACTTACAAGTTCGAATACGGTACGATATTTACCCTGAGGGTATGTCCCCGGACAGGGAACATGTCTTTATCTCCAAATAACTGCCGACTTCCCCAACCCAGGCAGTTCACTGTGACGTCACTCACGGGTATCTAGAAACAGATCATTAACAATGAATACGTCACACACGGGTATCTAGAAACAGATCATTAACCATGAATACGTCACACACGGGTATCTAGAAACAGATCATTAACAATGAATTCGTCACAAACGGGTATCTAGAAACAGATCATTTACCATGAATACGTCACTCAAGGGTATCTAGAAACAGATCATTAACAATGAATACGTCACACACGGGTATCTAGAAACAGATCATTAACGGAGTATCTATAGAAACAGTTTTATCTCATCAGCTCTAACGTTTCCCACAAAAACTCAACAAAGTATCATTTAACTAGAAAATATTTGTTAAACATGCAGCTTTTTAAACGAAAACTCTAACAGAAGTCAGCGAAGCAGAAAATACAGGTCACAGCGACCTTGCATATATGAACTTTGATTGCTATGCTACTTCTAGTATGTACATGTATGTATCAGAGAAACTGGAGCTGAAAGCAAAGTCTAACACAAATGTCAAATGGACGGGAAATGCAAATATTTAATGTACCTAAACTATCATGGCCTGGGGGAAAATTTGAAATAAAGGACGAACGCCAACTCTCCATACGGTATTAGAGCTGATCAGTTTTTTACCGGTTGATAGTTTTCAGTGGGACTATAACTTGGCGAGGTTGGGACTGTGAGGTCGGCTGGATCTTACATACATCCCCACAAAAAACTCTGATCTTTCTTAATATTAATGGGATAGACAAAATACTTTTTATATGTATACATATACACACTTTGTCAGATACAAGTGTTCGCTTCAGATTCCATTTCAAACTGACACATAATTCCTATTCAACATTTCTAGAACAAATTACCACATAAATGGCCCCGACATTCCGATACTTTTTATGATAAATGACCATTAGAACATTACTTTTCATATAACATTTGGTTATAAATGACAACACACCTAACACAGGCACACTAGAATTTCATGTAAACACTGACGCCCGTATAAACATACTCACTTCTGATAAAGACGTTATGTTCTGGTTCTGTACATACCCTCCATTTTTGCGAAATCTGAAATATTAGCACTCAAGAAAAACCGGCATTGCACAAAAGCAAGCTATGGTTATTGGTGATTACAAATAATTTGCTTTTTAAAGCGTATTGATTTACCATAGAGCAAATTTAAGCAAGAACATTTAAAGCACAAAATGATATTGACACCAAAAAAGGTCGTACAAATGTAGGCTAAATATTAAGGATTTGTTATAAGGCGATATCAAAGCAATTTATTAGGCGATATCACAGCAACATGTCTAAGATTTTTTATAAGGCGATATCACAGCAGATGTCTAAGATTTGTTATTTACATTGTGTATCAATTTTGTCTTGCTTAACCAAGAATAAGTTCTAATGCACAACTCAATCGGATTTCAACTACCTCTTCATCAGCCAGGGGAGATAACGCCGGCACTCCACCATCAAGGTATCATACCACCATCCATACCTGCGAACGTAAACAATATGCTGTGGACATTTCTGAAATATTTATGATGACATTTTTCGTTATTAACACTCATTTAAACAATGATGCTTGAAAAATTCGTTTTTTTTCTCTCAACAAAATGTAAAAAGGAAACTAACAATCAAAATGAGAGTATCTCTGGAAAAGGGTAAACTTTCACGAAATGCACCTCAACAAGATTGATATTTAACAGATAACAGACATCAACACCAATTGACGTAAAAAAAGTAAACAGGTCTTCAAAGGGACCTCGCTATCTTTATAGGCCTTTGAAGGGACCACAAGATTTTTGAAGGGACCACAAATTTTCTCGACAGGGCAATTTGTGATTTACTTTAAAATGCTTACTTGTATATTTTGCCAATGGGCAAGCGTTGTAGTTCTTTGCTTGATAAAACCGAGAACCTATAGTCCATGTGACGGTGTATTGGGAGCTACAAATAAACACAAAGGTATTTATGTACATCGTCCAGAACGAAGGACGGTGTATTGGGGGCTACAAATATACACAAAGGTATGTATGTACATCGTCCGGAACGAAGGACGGTGTATTGGGAGCTACAAATACACACAAAGGTATGTATGTACATCGTCCAGTACGATGGACGGTGTATTGGGAGCTACAAATATACACAAAGGGATTATGTACATCGTCCAGAACGATGGACGGGGTATTGGGGGCTGCAAATAAACTAAAGGGATGTATGTACATCGTCCAGAACGATGGACGGCGGATTGGGAGCTACAAATAAACACAAGGGGATTATGTACATCGTCCAGAACAATGGGCGGTTGTTGGGAGCTACAAATAAACACAAGGGGATTATGTACATCGTCCAGAACAATGGGCGGTTGTTGGGAGCTACAAATAAACACAAGGGGATGTATGTACATGGTCCAGAACAATGGACGGCGTATTGGGAGCTACAAATGAACACAAGGGTATGTATGTACATCGTCCAGCACGATGGACGGTTATTGGGAGCTACAAAGAAACACAAGGGTATTATGTACATCGTCCAGCACAATGGCCGGTTATTGGGAGCTACAAATAAACACAAGGGGATGTATGTACATGGTCCAGAACAATGGACGGCGTATTGGGAGCTACAAATGAACACAAGGGTATGTATGTACATCGTCCAGAACGATGGCCGGTTATTGGGAGCTACAAATATACACAAGGGAATGTATGTACATCGTCCAGAACGATGGAAGATTATTGGGAGCTACAAATAAACACAAAGGAATGTATGTACATCGTCCAGAACGATGGCCGGTTATTGGGAGCTACAAATATACACAAAGGTATGTATGTACATCGTCCAGAACGAAGGACGTTGTATTGGGAGCTACAAATATACACAAAGGGATTATGTACATCGTCCAGAACGATGGACGGTGGATTGGGGGCTGCAAATAAACTAAAGGAATGTATGTACATCGTCCAGAACGATGGACGGTTATTGAGAGCTACAAATAAACACAAGGGTATGTATGGACATCGTCCAGAACAATGGACGGTTATTGGGAGCTACAAATATACACAAAGGTATGTATGTACATCGTCCAGAACGAATGACGGTGTATTGGGAGCTACAAATAAACACAAAGGTATATATGTACATCGTCCAGAACGATGGACGGGGTATTGGGAGCTACAAATAAACACAAAGGAATGTATGTACATCGTCCAGAACGATGGACGGTGGATTGGGGGCTGCAAATAAACTAAAGGAATGTATGTACATCGTCCAGAACGATGGCCGGTTATTGGGAGCTACAAATATACACAAGGGCATGTATGTACATCGTCCAGAACGATGGACGGTGTATTGGGGGCTGCAAATAAACTAAAGGTATGTATGTACATCGTCCAGAACGATGGACGGTTATTGGGCGCTATAAATAAACACAAGGGTATGTATGTACATCGTCCAGAACAATGGACGGTTATTGGGAGCTACAAAGAAACACAAGGGTATTATGTACATCGTCGTGAACGATGGACAGTCTTTTGGGGGCTGCAAATAAACTAAAGGTATACATTGTGTCGGCAATTACAAAGACATATGCAATAAATGTATGTTCAGAACGACAACTAACGATGTGTGGCAACTACAAAGATATGCAAATAAATGTGCATCAAGAACAACAATTATGTTTGCAGCCACACTGTGTGTGTCCAGAGCTTTAACGACAACCGGCACTGTATGGGTAGTTACAAATACAAACCAAATCATGTGGACAGCTATGAAGACATATAAATCTATGTCCACCCTGGGGGTGGAGGTGGGTGGGGGTAGNGAGGGGCACCAACAACTCACCGACACTTTCTTATTCATCAGCTGGTAGCCCGATACCCGGATGACACCAGCTTCCTGTCCCTCCTCCGACTGCCATATTTGATCGAACCAATCAAAGGAACCCTGAAGCCACTTCCTTTTTGTATGCAAATGACAGTCGTTTAATAGCACCCAATGAAATAGTATTAAATGTTAAAACTACTTGCCATACACTTAGTTGTTTTATACACGAAATACATACACATACTGAAAGAATTAGTGTTAACATACCTGCCAATAAACGCACACGCACAAATGTCCATGTACAAGACAAATACGGGGAATCTACAGTGTTAAACACCTTTTTGATCTAAAAGAAAGAATAAAGTCTGACGTAGAGAATTAATTATCCGGTTTGTAAGTATTAGAGGATCTTATAAGTATATTCAATATTTCTGCATGGAAGTGACTCAAGTTATTTACTATTTTTTTTTAAACAGACATAATACATATTAGGTTGATAAAATGGAGTTTATTCCATGTATACACCACTTACTACACACATGTATATATCACTCACTACACGCATCACTACACACATATATACATCACTCAGTAAACACATGTATATACCACTCACTACACACATGTATACACCACTCACTACACACATGTATACACCACTCACGACACACATGTATACACCACTCAC